TATTTAATATATTTCTGCATTCATATTATACGTATGTTTATTCCTAAATATCATTAATTAGTTGCACAAATATTATATTAACTTTTATTATTCCTTTTTTATTAATTTTTATATTCCAAAAAAGCAAATGAAATCCATAGAAATCCTTCAGAAACATTTCCCCTCACCCCATCCCATATTCAACAAAGAGAGACACTTTCGATAAAAAAAAAAAAACACTAAAAAAAACAAGAAATCGACAAGAATCTCATCGATAAGAAAGTATGGGGGCCCTTTAAAGAAAAAAAAAGATGGAAGAAGTGGAAAAGAAGTTTTAACGAGTTCGTACCGAACCTTCTTTACGAACTAAAGTCGAACCTAACCCACCCCACACACCCACCCCCACCTCCTCTTGGACTTGACAGGGTGGAAAGGTAGAAAAGGAAAACGCAATGGTAGGGGGTGGACTGGCCTGAGCTGAGCTGAACTGAACTGAACTGAACTGAGCTGGGATGGGGTTAGGGTTGGGGTGGAGTTAGGGTTGGGGTGGGTTAGGGTGATTGTGCAGACTGGAAAGTGGTCGAACAGTTCCGATGAAAAGTGGAATAAGGGATGATTTTACGCGCGAGCAACGTTACTTCGAATAGGGTAACACTCGCCCACCCCCTTCCCCTCATCCCCTCCTCCTCTCCTTTCCCCTCTCTCTTAACCTTCTTCACATTCACCGATTTTTCCTCTCACCGATTCGATATTCATAGTTACCGTAATACGTAGCCATGGATTGGTTACGTGATTCGCGTATTTAAAACTTGAACACTTGTTCGAAACGATTTATTTTAAACGTCGACTATTCTAAAGAAATGCAATTTATTTATTTATTTATTTGTTTTTGTTTTTTTTTTTTTGCAATCGATACGATGATTATTATTCACTTATCATCTTATCATGAATTTCGATAGGAACTAATGTTTTTTATTATTATTATTTTTTAACGTTAAAATAGAGATTGATATTTTATAATGGGATAAAATAACTTCGTAATTTTGATTGAAATAATATGTGGAAAGTTTATTTGAAATGTGGTGTAAGTTTTATTTTATATCACGTATAACACTTATGTTAAAATATTATTCCTATTTTATTTCTATTGTGTTATTATTTATTAAACAAAAATTAGATTATAATTGGAAATGTATTATATTAAGTGAGATTTAATTTTTCATAATTCATATATTCACAATGATAATATAAAATAAATAATATATGTTACCATTTGTAAATTGCATATAAATTAATAAAAACATTAACAAATTTGATTATATATTTAATATATAAAAAATATATAATACATCATCCCCATATCCTATCATAGTATTGATAATATTAATTTATTCTAAATATTACACAAATATATTAAATCATTAATATTATAATCTAATAAGAGTTAATTATATATAATTATAGAATGTATGTATACATTTCCTTTGATAATTGTGTTAAGAGACAGAAAGAGAAAGAAAGAACGAAAGATAGTGTATGTGTGTGTGTGTGTGAAAGAGAGAGAGAGAAGTTCTCTTATCCTAATCCTCGGAACTGAGAGGACACAAGAGCTTTTCGTAATCCCTCGAAGCTAATCGTGTTGGTTTCGTAGGGATTTCAAGTGGCATGACTAATTTCAAGACTTATAACGTGTGTAACTAAACAATAAATGAACACAATTACTAAAGAAATTTAATTTAGATATATATATAAATGTGTGTGTGTGTATGTGTTTATTGGATATTTATTGGAATGGTATTT